GGAGGAGGTGGTGGTGGTGGTCGTGGTGGTGGAGGTGGACATCGTCATCATCTTCTTGTTGTTCTTCATCATCATCATGATGGAGATTATCATGCCGACGATGAGAAGACCGCCGACGAGAACAACGTCGTCGTCAGCGGATTCTGGCTAAAACGCTGCAGGAGCTGCCTCTCCTGATTATGCTCGGCCGCCTTCGCTCCTTCTTATTAGAATAAAAAAAAGAATTATGGGGATGACTAAGGAGGAGATGGAGGAGGAGGAGGAGGAGGAGGAGGAGGAGGAGGAGGAGGATTTGGTGTTCAAGGAGGATCAGAAGAAATTCAGTGTTGTTGGTCTTACAGGCCTGGGTTAGGAACTTGACATCGTTCAAGTCGGAGAATGCAAACTTGGCACAGACAGATGCAAATGCAGCGAAGAAACCAGCTGAGACGAGCGTCAGATCGACTGCAAGGCCTGAAGATCTACTCCACCTGTGCCGCAGCGATAGATTGTCGTTGACATCTCCCTGCCAAGAAGTCAGCTATGACATTCTGAGATCCAAACAACATGTTGTGACACCAGAACATCTCATCCCATGTCCCTGCTGTCTGCTCTCTGTGGTCTTTCCCCTGCTCCTGCTCCTGCTCCTGCTCCTGCTCCTGCTCCTGCTCCTGCTCCTGCTCTCCCCCGTCTCCTTCCTGGTGCCCTCCAGTCAAGTGCTGGTCATGAGCCGCAAGGTAGTATCGACCAGGGAAGATGGATGACCAGAGGACCGGCCCCCGGCAATGGCAGCAATTGTCATCGCTTAGTTCCGTTCCTCCTGCTGCTCTCCCTCCTCCTTCTTGTACTCAGATCCTCCTCTTCCTCCTTCCTGCTCTCTCCCCTCCCCTCCCCTCCTTCATCCTCCTTGCACCTGCTCTCGTCCGTGCTTCTCTTTCAAGCTTTCTCCTGCGGATCCAACGAATGGCGATTTCCAGGACTGTTCTCCTGCTCCTCCTTGCCGTCACTTCCCATGTGGACGTCTCCTTTTCATTGCCCTCTTTGACCCATGGTGGCATCGCTACCTCGGCGGCAGTCAGGCTCCGAGGAGGAGGGTTGGGGATAGGCGCGGCCGGGATCCTGAAGCACGCGCCATGGAGGAGGAGGCAGGGCATGAATGCGCCGAGCGCCGGCAAGACGAGCAAGAAGGTGGCGGAGGAGGAGAGCAACTCACCGCTGATGACGCTGGGAGCGGTCTTGTTCTACCTAAGCACGTGAGCTTGCTGTTGTCATGGCCCGTATCTCCCTTACCCACCGCCACAGGTCCCTCAGCCTGACCCTCTTGAACAAGCTGATCTTCTCGCGGTTCAAGTATCCTCTCTTCGTGACCGAGTACTTGCGCAGCTTCTCTCTCCTCCTCATTTCTCATCATTCTCCCGCAGGTTTCAGCTCGTTGTAGCCATGGCGTTGCTCTACATCCTCGGAGAGGTCTCGACCAAGCTCGGAGTCCTTACCTTCATTCCTCCTGTCATGGCGAGCTGCTCCTTTCTGGCTGTCCTGTGACAGCATGCGGCAGGTTGACCTGGATGGAGCGATCGCCATGAAGATTCTGCCAGTCACCCTCCTCTTCGTCTCCATGTTGTCGTCGACCAACTACTGCCTCAAGCACGTCGACATCAGCTTCTACCAGGTGCAGGATCCCCCCCTCCCTCTTTCCTCCCATCAAAGGGACCCTCACCACCCCTCCTTCCTTCCATCAACATGATCCCCTCCCGTCCTCCTCCCTCCCATCAACAGGACCCACCCCACCCCAAATTCCTCCCATCAATAGGATCTGAACTTTCAGCAGATCCTCCGATCTCTAGTCATCCCCTTCAACATTCTCATCAGCTACCTCCTCCTCGGAGTCCTGCCTTCTTTCAACGCCTCAACCTGCTCCATCGTCGTCATGGTTGGCTTCGCCCTGGGGACAGTGACGGAGTTAAACTTCAGCCATGAGGTTCCCCTACGCTTTTCTCCCCCCTCTTCCCCCTTCTCCCTCTACTGCCCCCACCCCTGCTGCCCCCTTCTCCCTTCCCTTCCTCCTCCTCCTTGTCCATGTCCCACCAGCCCCACGCGCAGAGTCTCAGCACTCGTTGCAGGGCTTCATCTTTGGGATCTTCTCCTCCATCATGGTAGCCTGCTACTCTACCTCGGTCAAGAAGATTCTGCCGGTGGTGGGCAACTCAACCTGGCGCCTCATGCACTACACGACCTTCCTCGGTATCCTCGCGCTAGCGCCCATGGTCTACATCTCGGGGGAGCTCAAGGGAGCTCTGAGCTCGGGGGCTATGGAGTCAAGGATGTTCTGGCTGATGATGACCAACGTGAGTCGCCGGCGGCATGCGCTCGGTCGGAGCTGACGCTTTCGTCCTCAGGCGGCGGTCGTCGGCTTTCTGATCAACCTGGCCTACTTCGCGCTCATCAAGTACGGATCGCCGCTCACAACTCACATCTCAGGCTGCGCCAAGACGGCCCTGCAGACGGTGCTGTCCGTCATCATCTTCGGTAACAGAGTCTCCTTTTGGAACTCTGTAGGAATCGCCATCACCCTGCTAGGGTCCTCCGCCTACTCCCTTGAGAGATTCCTTGAAGTTCGCCAGAAAAAGCCGTGAGGGGTCAGCAGCTCAGGACGTACAGCAGGAAGGAAGACTATCTGATAGAACCGACCACAAAAGATTCACTCTAAACCACTTCCAACACTCACACCTTTCTCTAGTCTGCCTCATCCTGGCACTCAACGCTTCAGTCCATCTTCTCCATCTCCACGGGCCCATCCTCTTCCGCAGCGGCGCCTGTTGCCTCCGTGTCCATTGGGGCTGCTTGGTCGGGCTTTGCCTCGTCTGCCATCCAGGCATCCTCATCCTTCCTTTCCTCAGGCTCATCCTCATCTTGCTCCTTGGCCTGCTCATCCTCTTTCGGCTGATCCTCCATAGGCTTGTCAGCTTGAGGAGGAGGGGAAGGAGCCTTGGGCTTCGGTCTGTTCATGATCTTCTTGCAAGCATGCTCCAGGTCAGACCTCTTGGACTCCACTTCCGACGCAAACTTGGGTGGAACTTCAGTCTTGGGAGCTGCCTTTATGATGGTTTCCTGCTCCTGCACCCACTTCTCATACTGGTTGCACTCCTCAACAACCTTGGCACGTTCCTCAGCTGTGATGTGAGAGAATCTCTTGTCTTCGGTATGCGACATCCTCCTGCACAAGTCGATGTAGCTCCTCATCTTCCCAAAGGCCTCTCGAACGTCTTCAAAGTCCTTGGCCCTGCTCTCGATAGGATCCCCAATCTGCTTCAGCTCCTTGAGCTTCTCGACGTACACGTCCTTGCTGGTTTCTTCTCCATCTCCATAGAGCCATTCTTCCATGTCGTCCAGCCTCTTGAGAAACTCGCGCTTCTTGTCTTCCGACTCGTACTGAGAGTACGTGGAGGAGATTGCATCTCGCATCTTGTAAACATATTCTTCCAACGAGTTCTTGCTTGCATGGGTCTCATGGACAAGCTCATCGTGGCTGGCCATATTTCGCTCATCCTCCATCAATCTCTCAAGGGCTTCAGGAAGATTTCCGAGTTGAAACGTTGTGTCCACAGAGATTTTCTCCTGTCGTGTAACAAGTTTGGTCTTCGGGGCTTCAGGAACCGCAGGTTTTCAGCTTCGTCAGCCATCTTATCGGCTCCTTCCTCTGTAGTGTTGGTTGCGTTTGAGCTTGGATTCTTGGGGGTACGCTGGGGTGAAGGCTCGACAAGAACCTCTTCCTGAGTTTCCTTCACGCAAGAAAAGATGGCCGGGCATCCGTCAAGTCCCAAACCCAAGTCCAACTTCAACAAGCATTCTCCTTTCTTCGGATCAACATTAACTTTGTGCTTGCACAGCACAACAGATGCATCCTTCGGAAGACCTTCAGCCTGACTGTGCATCCATTCAAAGTGCACCGGAGAAGCGGTCTTGAGCTTCAGGCTCTTCTGTCCTGGGACCTCAGAGCCTCGTTCGAACTCCAATTTGCCTTTGCACGAACCGTCCTCCGAGTAATATTGCACTTCAACGGGAAACAAGCAGCAGTCCGACACGCGGAATTCACGAACCCTGAAGGCTGGCGAGAGCATCGCACAAGCCAAGGATGCACCTCTTGCCACACTCTCGGCAGCGTTGATGGTTGTTCTTGAATCCTTGCCAAAGAATTCCGATACCAACTCACGAACTCTAGGGATTCTCGAAGTTCCTCCAACCATCTCGACGCTGTCCACCTGATCCATCTTGATTCCAGACAACTCCATGGCTGATTCAATGGTAGATTGGATCTTGGCCAACAATCCCTGGCCTTCTAACAATTCCTCGAGCTGCGCCCTAGTGAACATACCTGATACATCCTTATCTTCCATCATACATTCAACATGAATCGGCGTTTCGAGATCCTTCGGATTTGCTGAAAGGGTTTTTTTCAACTTTTCACATTGAGTGCGAAGGCGCAAGCTTGCACGTGAATTTTTCCTAGCATCGACACCGTATTTCTGGTTGAAAACTTCCGCGAAGTGCTCGAACAGCAATTTATCAATGTGTCTACCGCCGATCTCCTTGTTGTACGAATGTGATAAGACCTTGAGTTGCCCCTTCTTGTAAGCAACTACAGAAACTTGCGTGCTCTCATGTCCTAAATCCAGGAAGACTACATGTCTCGGGTTGTCTTCTGGCAAGTCAGTCTTGGTAATACCGTATGCCAGAGCTGTGGCTGTGTTGTCATTGATCAATCGAAGGGATTTCAATCCGGCAATGGAAGCAGCCTCTCTCAAAGCAGTTCTTTGCTTTTCGGTGAAGTACACAGGAACTCCGATGGCGCAGTCAATCACTTCAGATCCATGATCAGCTTGAGCTATTTTCTTCAAGTTCCCAAGGATCATTGACACGAGCTGAGTGGGGGTGAACGTCCTATCATGTCCACAGAGAGAGACTCTGGAAACAACTTCCTCGTTCTCTTCCTCAAGCTTGATGGTGAAGTCTTGCAGCTCCTCCCCATCATGCAGCTTCCTTCCGAGTAACCTCTTCGGCTCTGACACGGTGTTCTTGAGGTTCATCATCCTCTGTGAGGAGCCTCGCTCTCCGATGAACCTCTCACTTGCTCCGAAAGATACAATTGAGGGAGTGCTTCTTTGAGAGGCTTCGTTGCTAACAATATCAACTCCCTTCCTGCGTGCAATCGCAACGACACAGTTGTCAGTACCGAAATCTATGCCCATAACAGCCCCCGTTGGCGCGCCATTGCAACAATCAATCATGCACAGCAACGCGATGGCAGACAGGAAGCATATCTCTAGCAGAGGATTCCTCCATGGCATATTGAATGGCATGGTGGCACGGCGCGAGCAAAGATTCCAGGATCGGGCCTCAGGTCAATTCTGTGCGCGAATTGAAGCCTAGCGCTAAGGGTTCCTGATCAAGGACATGTCAGATCAAGAAAAGCTCTTGTATCTTCAATTATCAAACAAACAAGCATCTCGAGTTCATTCCATGGATGGAACAAGACTAAATGGGACGCAAACATGAAGTTCACAGGCTGCGATGTAGAGATCCAGGATCCTGACTGTAAGAAGAAGAGATGCTATGAATACAGAGACATTCATCAATACAAGGAGATTGATTTCGCTACAAATCAATGCGTTGCTGTGAATGATGATCCAAATGATCGTGAAAGACATGATTTTAGTATCACTTTGTTGATTCCACTCCATGCTGGAGGACATGTACAGTACTTGCATACTCGAAGGGGCTGGAAGGGGAGGAAGAACATAAGAGAGGATAGAACGCATGAGCATGATCAGGAAGGGAAGGGGGCAGAGGGGAGGTAGAAGAGCTGATGCTGGAGGTACAAGCGGACGAGCTCATGGCGAGAAGCAGCGGGCGCAAGGGGAGAGTATTGAGAAAACTGGGGGTAGGGGTAATTCGAAATGGTGGTAGGGGTATACTTGATTGGGGTCAGGGGTACTGAAATTGTTGAATACGGGTCTTCTCCTACAAAGGAAATGTTGAAAAGTACCGGTACTTCTTCGAGTCTTCCTGGGTCCGCTGGGTAGTGATGGATTTGTGATAGGGTGGAGGTACTCTTCATTAGGGGTGGGGTCATGTACAAAGGAACTTGTCGAACTTTCTCCCTCGTGCTGGTCCCTGCAAGCCAGGGACCCCTCCTTGCAAAGTACTTTCAAGGGGTACTTCATGAGAACAGAGGGTGGGGTGGGTTCTTTGAAAGGGGGTCCTGCAAGGGTGATCGTACCAACGGATGGGGTTTCGCCATGAATTTAAAAGGGGGTGGGTACTCAACCCTCATACAGCATTTTGATGGTTACAAATCTCTGGTGATTCATAACGGATTTTGCATGGGTAATGAGGCAGTAATGAGGGAGATGAAGCATGGGGATGAGGGGGATGAAACTTTTGCCAAAGGAGTCGCATGGGAGGATGCGGTGATGACAAGGAGGACGAAGAAGACGACGAGGTGATGCAAGACATGAGAGAAGTCGTAGAGCATCATCATCGTCATCATCATCAGCAGCACCAGCACCAGCACCACCAGCAGCACCAGCACCAGGACCAGCACAAGCACCACCACCACCACCAACAGCACCACCACCACCACCACCACCAGCACCACCACCAGCACCACCACCAGCACCAGCATCACTAGCATCATCATCAGCACCAGCACCAGCACCAGCACCAGCACCAGCACCATCATCATCATCATCATCATCATCATCATCATCATCATCAGCAGCAGCAGCAGCAGCAGCAGCAGCAATATGAAAATCATCATTAGCATTAGCAGCAGCATCAGACTCAGACTCATGGAGAAATCTGAGACCAAGTAAAACCGGAAGGAAGGAGGGAGAGCGGGCGGGCGGGCAGGGTGGGCAGGTGGTGTTTAGGGGACGGAGAGGAGAGTGCGAGAGGATCGACCGGGGGTGTCATAACAGGTGGCCATGGGTGCAAAGCGGCGAGATGCCATGGCTGAGCCGTCTCGTGCAGGTAGTTGCAGTTGGTCTGTATCGGTTGCTCGAGGAAGCGAAGGGGTTTTCGAAGCCAGAGGTGTGTTGCTTGCTCCAGTTGACTGTCCTCCTGACTTGTCTCAGATCTCGGGTTTCAGGGTAGGAGCCGTTGCAGTCGGGGAGAGCGGCACGTCCTATCTGGGAGGCAATGTAGAGTTCCGGCACCAGGGGCTCGAGCATGTCATACATGCAGAGGAGTTCGCCATCACCAACGCGATCAATCATGGGGAAAGGTCCATATCCCACCTGGCCGTCTCCATGGCACCCTGCGGATGTGAGAAACTCTCGAGGCTGTGCTTCCCCTGACCCTCACTCGCTGCCTTCCTGTTGCACTTGCATGTGACTCCGTGCTTCCAGACTGCAGGCAGATCATCTCAGAGCTCGCTGAAGCTTCTCAGCTGTCGATCTGGATCTCACCGTCCAAGAAACCCACAGACATCGATGCTCTCCTTCCCTCCGCCTTCTCCCCGAAGGACCTCGGAGGCAGAGGACGACTGTTGAGCGAGCAAGCACACGAGCTGGAGCTTGTCGAAGTGCCCGAGGAGGCATGGAGGCCTCTAGCAGATGTCGCACTCGAACGTGCTAACCGATCTTACGCGGTTTGCCTCTCCCACTCTCGCTCTGCTGGTTGATCTGCTCGCAGCCGTACACCCGCTCACCATCAGGCGTTGCGCTGATGCTATCTTGCGGAAAGATCGTTGGAGGAGGATACGCAGAGAACTGTGCCTTCAACCCTTCGATCAGCCCTCTCAAGGTGGTTTCTCTTGCTCAGTTCCCCCCCTCTCCTCGCTCACCGCTGCTCTTGTAATGTTTGCAGGCAGCTATCGTTGCAGTGTTGTCTTCACAGCAGAGGTTAGAAGATGTCGAGAAGCTGGTGACTTTCAATCATGTGGTTGATCGGTTTGCACATTGATGAGAGGATAAGGTCCTGGTCGAGATGAGAAACAGTTCTGTCTCACACGAGAGTTCAATCTCCTCCTTCTCAAGATCTCTGTTTCCTCGCGCGCAGGTGGGAATGTCAAGGCTGCTGCTGTGCGGCGCTTAATGGCATGTTCTCAGGTTCTTATCCTTCAGTGTGAACAGCGCAGCGCAGCGCTAGAATGAAGCTATGGACAGGCATTCCTTGATTTGTTCTGGACCTTCATAGAGTAGAAAGAAAAGCAATAAACATTGAACATGCTATGCACAGGATCCTTTCAAGGCATCGCTACACCCCATCGAGCTCATCCTTCTCCGCTAGAGGATGAGCATTGTCTCCAGGGTTCCCCTCATCGCATCCTCCACCTTCCTTCCTGGGAGCTGCGATGAAGAAGAACATGGCGCATAAGAAGAGTTGTGTGCTTGCCGTTGCAATCAATATCGGGTTGAATGATTTCCACACTGAATGTGTTATTGCGAAGAAGACAGGCCCAATCGCTACCCCCAGGAGGCCTGCAGCAGCCAAGAGTGCCTGCAAATGATTACGTTTAGAATTGAATCCTCCTCCTCCTCCTCCTCCTCCTCCTCCTCCTCATCATCATCATCATCATCATCATCATCATCATCATCATCATCATCATCATCATGGTCATCGTCGTCGTCGTCGTCATCATCATCATCATCATGGTTCTCACCTGCATGCTACCAACATGCGCCCTTCCATACAATGACGCAAAGATGGTAATCCCCATCACCTACACTTCATAGTCAGCGTGCTGAAAGAAAGGGGAAGCTGAGCAGGATATCAGCGGAGGGAGAAGAAGGGGTGGGAGAGCGGACAAGTTATGTAGAAGAGGTGAGGGGAAAGGGAACGACGGAGGTGAAACATCGAACCTGGTTGCCTCCCACAAACAACCCCGTGAACACTCCAAAAGAGAACGCCATGGCGGAGTTGGACATGAAGATAGCTATTATCTGCGCGACAGCAGCAGCGAACGGAAGCTTGCGGACAGCCAGTCAGTCTACGAGGCCGGGCAGGATCAGGGATGGGGAGGGGAGCTTTACCACGGAGCATCTCCGCAGCTTGTCGTTGTTGTTGCTCACACCGTCTAGCAGGCCTCCGGTGATCACTGCTCCTGCTGGAACGAACAGTCCGACCGCAGAGTAAATCAGCGACGTGCTCGAAGGGAGCATCCCCCGCTCTGCGCAGAAGGCTTGCAAGTGAACGTTCATGCCCCCCCACCCAGACCCCAAGGTGAAGGCCACGGCGATGATGAACCAGCACTGGTAGGTTCGAATGGCTTCCCAGAAGGTGAAGTTAATCTCGCGCTCCTCCTCCTTCCCTCCCTCTGCCTCTTCGAGACTGTCGCCCTCGTGCTTGAGCCCGTCGGGGAGCAACCCGACTTCTTCCGGTGAATTCTGCAGGAAGAGCAGGGCAGGGAGGTCCAGCAGAAGGACGACGAGCGTGCACAGCATCGTGACCTGCAATCCATCAAGTGACGATATAGAGAGCAGCGTAAGAGGGGGAGGGGGATGGGGTAGAATGGAGAGAGGGAGACAGAGAAGAGAGGGAGGAGGCGATTCTTCAAGTTCTCACACCTCCCTCCATCCATACTGCTGCATCAGCACATTCACAACAGCAGCAAGTTGCAATTGTAGCGCCAGCGCTATCTGGAGCCCTGAACCCTCCGGACTCAGCCCAACCCCTCGAGCTGGGGACATCTGACTCACCTGCTGCTGCCCTCCCTCTCAGCTTGCGGAACCATCTGTTCACAGTCACCATAGCTGAGAAGGCCACAGTCTCCGGGCCCAGCATGCGCATCCCAACGTACGAGAGGCTGGAATTTCTGTCACAAGACAAGGTGGGTAGCGGAACGGGTCACCATGTAAGGTAGAAATTCCGGGACTGCGACATAACCAGCAGCGACATGCAGAAGGGAAGCAGCCCGAGCTTGACCGTTGCTCTGGTTCCTGTCATGCAACTTGAGCCTCCTCCCAGCCTCCAGGGACGGTGACCTATCCTATCGACTACCCGCCCGATCAGCTGTAGATAGACAGAGCTTCCCGCCAGGGAGAAGAAGAACAGGGCAGAGACAGTCTCGCGCGATACACCGAAATCTGTACAAGACGTTCACAAAGAGGGCCTTCGAGACATCTCGAGAGACCTTGCACAAGATACTCTGTGTAGAGCCCGAGAAAGAAGCTCTGAGGCAATGGTCAGGATCTTGCAAACATCATGGGAGGCGCTCACCTGCCCCGGGTTGGCAGAGAGAAAGATGGGAATGCAAGAGGCAAGGACGGCATGACCATACCATCTTCCTGGGAAGAGGCTGGAAGGGCATTGTAAGCGGCAGCGGCAGCGGCAGGACTTGAGGCAAACCTTTCGAATATCCTGATCCCCAAGGGAGCTGCTCGCTGCTGCTGGTTGTCATGCGTCTTCTCCCTCTTCTGCTCCTGGTTCACCACCATGTCCAAGAGCTCGCTCCTTCGTCCTCAAGGCGGATCAACGGCTGCCTCTAACAGGAGACAGGGCACACACGCCTTGTTTTGATCTGCCAACTACTTGATCGCTACCTCCCATGAGAGCATGAGGGGGGTCCGCAAGAGACATGCATCCTCCTCATTGAGAGCTGGTGACCTTCATGACGGACATGCCGGCATCGCTTGATCCTCTCCGACGCCATGTTCAGCACCCTTGACTCTCGCCTCCCACCGCATATACCGCATGTGCGAAACCTTGAGTGTAGAGCGGTTCTATTCGATTCATGGTATTCTAGTGCGGTTTAAATCGGCATTTCCCTTTTACCATGCAACCGCCCCTCTAGCTGGGTTTCCCCCCTCCGACGGCCATGGCAGGGTGAGGTGAAGGAGCGGAGACGGCGAGGAAGGAGATGGCGAGGAAGGAGACGGCAAGTGGGAGGGACGAGCTTGCTGTGGTTTGAACCCGAGGCGCTTCTCTCTTACCGGACCTGCAAAGCAGCATGCCGCTTTCAGGCTGATTTAGACCGGTAGGGATGGAAGGCTTGCGGATCAAGACCCCTCCTGTGCGAGGAAGTGAACAGCTCGATCGACCTCCGTTGCCGAACAAGCAAGGCTTCTTCAAGAAGCTCCTGTCTTACTTCTCTGCCAAGAAGGCCCAGGACGACTACGAGGTTCAGTCGGTCAAGTCCGAAGCAACCTTGAAGGACGACCTGAGTGATGCCAACCACATCTTTGATGCCGAGGAGCATTCCTCACGCCCTCCAGACTCGGGGAGGAGGTCGAACAGCATCAGCGTGTCTGCAAGAGACGACGTGAGCGTTACGAGCTCAAGGAGGACGAGGGAGGTGAAGTCAAGGGCAGACAAGGACGGAGACGAACAGCAAAGCGTCACATGGTCGGAAGATCGTTCGAGGGACGCGAGCCCTGCAGGAGGGAAGGACGTCCAGCTCAAGGACTCGTTCAAGATCCTACGTGAGCCGCCGGTCTGGTTCGACCCAGTGGAAGACCGAGTGAGGAGCCGATGGTTTTCAGTCCTGTCGTTCACCTGCATCATCTCTGTGCTCTCTACAGTCCTGCTGAGAGGGGTCTGGGATACCTCAACCGTCCTGAAGCTCGACAAGCGCCCAGTGCTCAAGACCCTCTTCGCAAGCGGCAACCCGATGATCATTGACTGCTACCCGTTGACCAACATGTCCTTCAAGGTACAGGCCTTGAACAGGAACGGATGGCCGTTGAGGGATATCACGATTGCGGTGCACGTGGTTGACTTCAGGCTGAGTCCTGTCGTTCGATCTCGACTTCCCTTCTGCGACCCAACGTGGTCCAGCACCGCCCATGCGGCGAGCAACCAGCCGGTGAACCTGTCCCATGTTGCCTTTGCCAGCGAATGAGAGCGATGTGGAACAGGTTTGCCAAGTGAGTCTCGTTGGAAGTTCCGTCCTTACAGACCGAGATGGAGTGGCCGACTTCAAGCGTCTGGCTTTCGACGCTGGTGAAGCTCTCGTGTACCTTCGCGTGTCATGTTCTGATTGACCTGACAGCGTTGCCGGGAGCTTATCGTCTAGAGTTCTACACGGCCGAGTCGGCATTGAATGCTTCCGAGTGGGTGACAGTCAAGGTAAAGCCTGCTTGACTCGCTTCTCCAACTCACTTCCTCTCCTCCTCTCCCTCCACCCCGCAGCCTGCCATCTCCTCCATCGAAGCCGATCCCCTCGCTTCCCCGGGTCGCGAGTCAGGCACAGATATCCAGTTTGACAACCGGGAGGTTCCGATGAAGCTCTCGAGCTCTCCTCCAGCTCTTCGAGTGATCGCAGGTGGAGGCTTTGCTGGGATTGGTTCGCTGCCGAGTAGGGGAGTCCCTGGGATCGATCTGAATGTCACCGTTCACGCTGTCGGGTTGGACTTCCGTTACGATCTGAACGGAAGTCTAGAGGAGACGATTGCACTGGATGCTGAGGAGATGGAGCAATGGTCTTTGGGTTCTGTTGTCCTGTCAGGAAACACAGCTCAGGTGATCTGCATTCCCTCCCTCCCTCCCTCCCCTCCCCTCCCTCCCCTCCCCTCCCTCCCCCATCTCGCTCTCACAGCCTTTTCCGTTTGTGCGAGATGTTTTCTCTCTCATCTTCGCTGTTCAAAGTGATGTCCTCGGCTGCCTGTGTCGTTGTTCTGCTCGATCGAGATTTCAAGCTGTCTCGCGCTGACTTGACGCTTACAGGCAAGCACTGATGGTTTCGTCAGCTTCCCAAACCTCTCCGTATTGGGCTACGATCAACCCCTGCTGCTCCTCGCGTTTGTCTGTCACGGGGAAGTTTTCGTGTGGTCTCAGGTGCAGCTCCAACCAGCATTCAATGTGAGCGAGCGGGCGGCAAGCTCCGATGGCTTCGGCGCGCTTGCTACCGTCGCCTTCCTCCACCTCCCAGCACCACTGGCGGCGAGCTCCCCTTCCTCTGTTTCCATCCTCTCGTGGCCGGACCGGGCAGTAGAAGGCGAGCAGTTCGAGGTCAAGTTCCAGCATCCCAGCTCGCTCGATGGAGCTGCGCTAGTGCCCCGCGTCCGACCTCTCCCCTCCGCTGTGCAGACAGCTGAGCTCTACCTAGAGGGTCCTTCCTCCATCGCCTTCGGGGAGATGCGAACTCCAGTGAGGATGAACGAGATAGACTCTAGGTTCAAGATCCTGCTGGGCAGCCCTGCTGTGGTCCTGCTGGGGAGTGCGGGGAGCGGGAGAGCGGCGGGCACCTTCCGTTTCTCCACCTTCGGGGCTGCTGGGGAGTACGAGGTAATCTTCTACCTCTTCGGTCGGCCAGTAGCGTCCAGGCAGATCAACGTGACAAGCTCAGTCGGGCTCGTGACTGTCGGAGCCTCCCCTTCCTTGTGCGGCCCCTCCTACCAGCCCGTCTGCCGCCATGCCGGGGGCCAGTGCTCCTTCGGGCATTTCTTCGGGGACAAGCTCGTCCCGCCCTCCTCGCCGTGTCAGGGTCTTGTTGCCATGACGGTGTATACGTCGCTAGAGCTGGGCCAGTCGCTGCTGTGGATCCTCGTGCATGGCTCTTCCTCCAACGCCTTCGTGCCTGGCAAATTCGTCGAGCTCCAGATGGTCCCCTGGGGAGTCAACGTGTCCTTGTGGTCGAGCTACAGCGTCGACATGAACCCCGTCGTGACCAGCTCCAAATTTGTCGCTGGCTCCGGCAAGTATGGCTCCGCCTCCCTCGCCTCCTTCCAGCTCCTCGTCGTTCCTCCCTCCATCAGCTCCCTGCAGCCATGCTTGAGGATAGACGACACGCTCTATCCCACGGGAATTCAAGTGCAGGCATCGAGCATGGTGCTAGAGGCTGAGGCCGCTTGCTCAGCCTTGCGCGCCTGCGCCTTCATCAGGACAGTCGTTGGAGTCCCCGACATCGTGCAGGCAGGAGAGGTTCTGAAGCCCTTCCCAGCAGCAAGGATCGTTGACGCAAGGGGAGAAGGTCTGTCAGGGCGGCTGGTCTGTTTCATCTATGGGACAGCCAAGTATTTGGAGGCTGCAACGAGCCTGCAGGCGTTCGTAGACGACTCGGTGGTGCCGGGGCTGAAGAACAGCACGCAAGCCTCCCTGGGCCTGATGGACATACAGGAGGCCAGCTTCCCCAGGGCCTGCAACTTCACAGAGAGCACTGGTGACGTCACCTTCACCAACCTCTTCATCAACTCCTCCTCGACTGACAACTCTACCCGCACGCTGTGGAGGTTCGTCGCGCTCAACGCTTTCTCGAACGAGCATATCTCGTGCTTGAGGGGATACTCGGCCTGGGCCCCCGCCTGTGCGAGCTCCGTCCGCTCCTCCCTTGTACGCAACCCCATCGCCCGCATCGTCACAGGCCCCACCCCCCTCGTTCAGTCCGCCACCGTCAACGGGCAGCCCTCCCTCCTCCTCGACCCGTCCGACTTCTCGTCGCAAAGTCGCAGCATCAACTTCTCCATCCCTGTCTCCTGCTACGACGACCTTGACGCCCTCGTGCCCTTCCACGGCCTCGAGGTGCGGATGTCTCACTTGTGGAACAGCCGGTCGGAGGAGGCGGTGAGCATGGACTACAGCATGTCCGTGAGCACCAGCGAGCTCTTGATCAGCCTGCACACAACCCTAGCAGGCGTGTACGTGCTGGAGCTGAACGCGTTCAACCTGCGGAGGAGAGTCTTTCTGCGGATGAGGTACAGCAAGGTCAGTGCCATGGCCCAGCTCAGGGATCGCAACGCGTTCTACAGCGACTTCACTCCCATCCCCTGTGTGTGGGACTGCGACGCCAAGAACGTCTCCAACATCGGGCAAGTCCACCCGCAGGACCTCAGGTTCTCCCTCCTCGACCAGAGCGGGAAGGCGGTGGAGGGGGCGCAGGTCTACCTGCTCCTCGAGTGCGTATCCCAGTGCTCGGCCAACGCTGGGCAGCTGTCAGGCATCGTCTCCCTACAGTCCGCGTTGCACTCGGATGGTGAGACTTACGCGCACGTGCCGAGCCTGTCGCTGTCAGCAGCGAGGCCGGGCACCTATCGCTTCCAGGTCTTCCTGTTCGGCCCTTCCTGGCAGTCTGCTGCCAGCCAGACCTCCAAGCTCCACATCCTGACGTCTGAGTTCACCGTCATGGACCAAGTCTACATCTCCTACTCCACTCCCCCCTTCAACCTCCTCCCCGGCAGGGCCGACATGCTCCTGTGGAACAAGACTGCGCTGGGTGCGGGAGGAGGAGGGGGTGAAGAGATCCTGGCAGCCGTCTCTGTGCGCATCCAGCGCTGGAGCGGCAATACCGCCTTCCTCTACCCGAGCGCATGGCGACCTCCTGTGCTCACCGTCCAGATGGCGGGACTTGCCGTCGGGACGCAACCAGGAGCAGGAGACACGGAGGTTGTCAACGTCACCCTACAGGGCCTTCAGCTGGGGTATGCTCGGGCAGCCAGCACGGGCTCCCCGCTCCTCGCTTCCTCCTCTATCCTTGGTATGTCGAGAACCTTGCGTTTCGGGTGGTACTCGTTCGCGATTGGGGGTGAGGGGGTGACCAGGGACGTAGAAACTCTGCTGGACAACAGCTCGCTGTGGCTGCCGGAGGGGCAAGGTTACTTGCTCTCTCCTCCCTTCGGCGTATCGGAGAAGCCCTTCCTCCTCAGCATCATCAGCAGGATACCGCAGGTGGTTGGGCAGGGGCAGGAGTTCCTAGTGCGCGTGCAGGCCAGGCTGGCCAACGGGCAGCCGCTGGAGGGCGTGACGGTAGAGGCGGAGATCGCAGTGGAGTGTACAGCTGAGGACGCGAGCTACTGCGGGCCCCTACAGTTCAAGACGGTCAGTGGCGGCCCCTCCCCCCAGAGCTCCTACCTGTTCAAGGATCAGGTGCTGATAACTACCGTCTACACCACCCGACTCATCCTCCTCACCACCACCGGCTTCTCCCTCAACGCCTCCACCGACGTCACCGACACCAACGGCGTCGCTGACGTGCTGGTGGTGCTGGGAAGGGCCCAGCCTGGTCGTTATCGCATCCGCTTCCGCAACGGGGGCACGTTCAGCGACGATTCAGATCCTTTCCTTGTGACCAACCTCGTCGCCTCGATCAACATCTCCGTCCCTCTCGTCGGAACGGCTCCTGGACTCTCCGTCCCCAAGCGCTCGCTCGGTCCCTACGACTTCAACCTGGGCAGCAGCTTCGTCTCCCTCCCCTCCGTCTACACCATCACCGGGGTCGTCGGCTCCCAGCCCACCATCACCTCAGCTCAGGTCCGCGTCCTCGACAGCAGCGGCAACGCACTGCGAAGGAGCTCAGAGGTTTCGCTGCACATCGTGACGTGCGGGCAGGACTGGGTGGAGCCAGGAACCCTAGTGTTCCCTCCCAACACCACTAGCGGGTGCGAGGAGTTTGTAGACTGGAACCTGACGCAGCCTCCGTCGTGGGTGTGCGAGGATGGAGCATGCGACAGGGGCTACACGCTCTTTGCTGGGGTCAACTTCTTCACAACAGCTGAGACAGGCTTCTACTACGTCTTCTTCGCCTCTGACGGGTACGTGGCCAGCCAGGCGCAGCCCCTGTACGCCAGCAACCTTGCAATCCCAGCTGCATCTGAGCTGCTCTCGTACCGGCTCGTGCTGATGCTCGGGCTGGGAGGGATGATCCTCCTCCTCAACGCCAACATCGTGGACAGAAGTCGGGTCTGGATTCAACTCTCCCTCCTCGGCTGCATAGTCTTCGCCATCGTTTCTGCCTTGTACTTCCGTGCTGTGATCGCCTCCTATGGGTCTCCTTCCAAGGTAAGAGGAGGAGCGTCCTACCAGTCTGCCGCTGCTCACTGTTGCTTCAGGTGCAGCAGGAGATCGTCCTGTGCGGAGGGCTCATGGTGATCAACACTTTCGCCATCACCATCATCCTCCTTCGGCTGGTGGTTCAGACTGACAGCCTGCAGTACTTCACGTACAGGCAGAAACGCTACCTGACTGCCTTCAGAAACCTGCTGGTCAGCCCTGAGGCCAGGGAGAAGAAGGTGAAGAGGACTTGGAGCATGCGGAGGAAGAAGAACAGAGTTCACCCCAAGGAGGAGGAGGTCACCAGAGCGTCCTCCTCCTCCCATGGCCCCATGGTGCACGGACACAACCTGGGCAGCAACGAGGACGGGAAGGCGCAGGCTGAGGCCACCGGGCTGCAAAAGAGGAGGGAGATCTTGAGGAAAGAGAACGCCAAGGACCGCGAGATCGTCCTTGCTCGCAAGGCGTCAACGGAGGAGGCGATGGCGCGGCAGAAGAAAGTTCGGATCCAGGACGAGAAGGAGGTCAAGAGGGAGGTGGTGGAGTTGGAGGGCTTCTGGGGGCTCCTCGGCATCCTCGCAGACTACGGGAAGGAACTCGTGGACCGGCTGGTCGGGGAAGGAGGAGGAAGAGGAGGAAGCTTCGAGACGGGCTTCAACTACCCCGTCCGCCTCCTCCAGGGCTTCGGGATGTCAGCCTGCGCCGTCTTCGTTCTCCTGGTTGCCCTACAGTCGCTGACCAACAGGGTCGTGTTCGGGCTCGAGAGACTGCGAGCAGAGGTCGTGAGGTACCGTGAGGCGCTGGGGAACTACCAGACCTCCGTCTCCTCCTCCTCCAGCATGGCGGCCTATCCTACCGCCCCCTACTCCAACAGGTACGACATCGTCGCGCTCTCTTACACGGTAATGGAGTCGATCTACGGAGACGGGCCCGCGTTCTTCGAGCAGCTCCTCTCCTCCATGCTCACGGGGACCTCGGCAGGTCAGCTAGCCATCATCGCCTCCTTCCTATGGGCATGGCTGCAGATCTTTCGCTCCTACCGGCGGATGATGATGCAGCTGAGGGCTGACCATACCCTCATCCGCGTCTGGCACTTCCCCATCCATGACGCTTCTGGCTACGTGGGGAGGCAGCTCTGGTCCAGCCTCGTGTCGGCCATGCTGGTTTTCATTCCCGTCTTCTTCCTCGTCTCCTTCCTCCTGTGGCAGCCCACCCAGCGCTTCTTTGTCTTCTTCGTCTTCCTCCCTCTTGGGGGGCTGGCTCTGATCGAGCTCGGCTGCTGGGGACTGCGGGCCTGGGTCAACAGCATAGCAGTGAGCGGCATCTACATCCGTTCGAGAAGGATCTATGGCGTCTACGACTTCATCGGCCTCTACCTCCACTTCCTCACTGGACCCGCTCTCGCCGTCCTCCGCGTCCTCTTCACATACGCTGACTTCGCCATCAACTTCTGCAGGCTCGACATCCCGGTGCTCGAGGGCTCCCTCGCCAACTTCGATCCCGGGCATGCTGCCTTCATGGCGATGCTCTACCTCGACTTCTTCTACAACGCCCCCGTCACCTCCGTCATGGCCTACAACCTCTCCAACGCGCTGTACCGCCGGAGGGAGCTCAAGCAGATCTCGGAGGCGGTAGGAGCCTCGAAGTCCATCCTCCCCTTCCCCTTCCTGCCCTTCCTCTCTGGCTACGACTGCCTCCTGCTTCCCTTCTAGCTCACTCCCTCCTCTCACCCTTCAGCTTCCTGCAAGCCTCCATCTTTCATTCTTCCTCCCTCTCTTTGCTTTCCTTCTCTTGCGCTCACCTCTCTTTGCCTTGCAGGATCAGTCCACTGAAGGAAAAGCCGCGAGGGAGCGAAAGAAGATAGCAATCGTTCAGAGAAATCGATGGCAGGCAAGATCACCTCCCTCCCTCCCTCTCTCCCTC